ATACACGCATGAAAAGTTCGGCCGTGATACATTGAATCTATATCATATTTGTGTTTAATGAAAACAATCTGAACAGCTATTGTGCAAAGCTTCATCTTTTTTTTCGGACAGTAGCCTAATCATGGATGACATTTTTCCAAATTTTTCCAAATAAAAAAATCACGTGTCCGTTCCAATTTGGAACGCAGATCACTTTTTCCAAGAAAAAAATTTATTAAAAATAAATACAAAGGTTCGGGACTTAGCCCGTGATACACTGTCTACATGATTACAGACTATAATCCCACCCCTATTTTTTCGAACAATATTCCTCTATTCTAGCCTTTTTCTTTGAAGGAGGATTGTCTTCCGCACATGCCCTATTTTTTAATAATCCTACTACAATACCTAACACTTTTTCACGCCATTACGTAATGTTTGATATTCTACCTAAAGCATCTTCGGAAAATTCAATGCTAAATGGTAATTTACTGCCTTGTGAAATTTTCCCCGGAGTATAGAGTAGGAAGTGCCAGTCCCAAGCTGTAGTGATAATACCATAGAGATAATCGAAATCGTCATCATCATTCCGCTTCCATTTTCTCAAATTCGTTTGGCATGAGCTCTCTAGTTGTTTGATATTCTGAGCCAAACTCTCGATTAGATTTTGCTCTGGTTTGTCTTCAGTGACACAAATAAGATTCTCGGCTTTCTGAAATACAAGTATGGTATTATTATATTTTTGAAAAAATTGACAGGTCCTGAAAAAAAAATAACATAATATCTTGATTGCAAAGTCGACCTGTCCTGTGCTATCATCACCAATTACTTTGTACTCAGGTCTCATGCTGAGCTCTTCCCCTGTAGAATCTCTTATAATATTGATTGCGGTATGAAGAATCGTCACGACATACTCATTGCGCATAGCTTTCAAACTATTCACGACTAAAACCTGTAATTTTTTAGTCTAACTAAAATTTCTGCCATACAATGCTCAAAGTGCTTGTCAGAGTCTTTAATTTCATAGGTTTGTAAAGAAAATAGTGAAATGGTGTCCATATCATTACCACCAATGTTATATTTCGTTAACACTTCCTTCAAATTGCGATATGTTAAAAAAACCCTTAACTTTTCATCTTTACACTCTTTAGCGAACTTCACGAGCCTTGTCGCAGGTCCTACTTTTAATCCACAATCCTGAAATTTTTGTTCAATAAAGTCAAGAAAGTCACCACCATTAACCTCTTCATTTTCTAAATTTTTGATAGTAGTCTCGCTAAGCCCTAAGTTCTGGTTTTTCAAAAACTCGATAAGCTTAGACGTATCATACTTTTTAATTTCGTCCACCAATGAGACTGTCTCATTTCTAGCAACAGAAGTAGAAGTGGAAGCTGGAGTATGAGGTATACTAGTTTTAGACATAGTATTACGTTTTTATAGGGATATTAGGCTCAGATAAAAAATAGTGTTACATTCTAGAATGAGATAAAAATTTATTTCTGTTCAGAAAAAAGACTATTAGATATTAATATAGGTTTTTATATCACATAAGCATATCATCACATGTGACCCATTTCTCATGTACTGATAAAATAATACTTTATTTATGAAATAAATCATTGTCAGAACCCACAACCTACAATACATAAAATTGACCGTTAAGGCGCTTCGCATGAATATATCGCTATTACATGATATTTTAGAAATCAACTCATGTGAAGGCATTCCTGTTTCATTTTAACATCTCTCATGAGCATATTCATCAATTTGGCTTTCAATTTATATATCTCTTCTGGTATCATTGATCTTCTAGAGTAAAAACTCAGCAGGAGAAATCTTTTCAAATAAGGATGATCACCTTTCTCTAATAATAATTCTTAACTGATCAACTGTTTTGTGGGTAGAGATTTTAAGCGTAGTAATACTTCCTTCTGGTAATTCTAATCTTAAAGTTATGTCACCAGATAAAAGAAAACAATTGAGAGTAATAATAGTATTAGACATCTTACTTTCCTAAATACAATGACTTATAGTAAGAAAAAACTTGCTCTCATACATACATAATTTCTAGCATATACATACCTTAAATTTTTTACGAAAAGTTAGCTGAATTTTATATACTCCTACATGCTTTATATTTGGCTGGAAAAAAAGTAAGAAGGTATGAAGCATAATTAGTATTGTTGTATAATGCTAAAAGTTCTATGAAAGCATATGCAAATGGAATCTTCAAACCCTTTCACATAGAGATCTACTGGAAAGGCATATAGTTGGCTTTACGCCTGGTGATCTCAGAATTGCAAGTCCCTCAGCTTTTTATAACATATGCTTTTACTAACACTATTTACTTTTAGAGTTGGTCCTGTATTATATGTAGACTTCCTTTCACATTTTCTCACATTTGTTTGAAGGAAAAAATAGAGGTATTAGTTAGCATATAACTTCTTTTCGATATATAAAAATTAATATGTCACATAAGACCTGACTGATGATCCACTTATTTTGTCGTATAATCTAACCGTAAGCGTTATGCATGGCTCAGCAAAAAATCTTCTGAGCTGATGATTACTGCTTCAATTGATGATCAGTATTTCAGACATAAAATTAAATATATGCTAATCAAAGATAAACACAATTATGATCATGATAAAAAATACTTCCACTGAATTATATGATCAATTTTTATATACAAAGAAGGATATAAAAGCTATTCAGAAAAAACTTAGTTTTAAATCAAACAGTAACCCATCAAATCAAAAAAGCGAAAATCCTTGTTGATACGTATGAGTTATTGTTAGATTTAGTAGTAGATATAATACTGATACAGAAAAATCTTAATATTGATGGTAATCCTATTCTAAAAGTGAAGCTTAGAAGCAATAGAGCTTCTACTGATATATTATATAAGGAATTATTTATATTGTTCTTAGATTTAGAATATGATATAATAGCAATTCAGAAAAAACTTCACATTGTTGGTTATACTAATCAAGCAGAGGTAGAAGATGCTGATGAAGAAGCAAAAGCATATCTTCAAAAGTTTAAGGAATTTCATGGTCCTTTAGAAGATGGTCTAGATGTGATACTAAAGAAATGTGGTGAAGTGGGAATGAAGAAAATTTGGTTTACTCAGAAAGGACTTTCATTATTCCTAAAGCTTTCTTCTTAACAATTGCATGAAGTTTTCATAAAAAGTTCAGCTAGTACAGACTAATGCCTATGTCTAGAATAGGTTAGTTAATTTATATTTTTTTTTGTCATACAGAAGTGATCCAGCAAATTCTTCTAAGCTGAAATCACCGCTCTGGATTAGTTAGATCAGTAGAGTTTCACCATTCTGCTTAATTGTTGAGTAATACTACCAAATAATCCCTTAGTGCTTGTCTGATTATAGCTATAATAGAGTGATCAGCACCAGAGTCCACTGTTATAGATATATTGAACTTAAGTTGCTGATATAACTGAGATAAAATTGGATTCAAATTATTATCAACACTATGTTGGTATTATATAGCCATCTTATCACTTGCTCTATCACAGCTTGATTATTAAATAGACCCCAGAAAATCTTGATATGAGTATTTGGATTTAGCTGATCTAGGGCTTCTTTGCTAATATAATACCCTCTCAAATTAATATATTTTAAATTAAGACATGATCTAGCAACTTCTTTGATAGTCATATCAGTAATTTCACAAAAGAAAATGTTAAGATGTCAGAACTTTAGAAAGGAATGAATAATATCGCAAATTGAATGTTCAGTAATCTCTATATGATAGGCGATATTTAAATATTCTAATTTATGGTATGTCTTTGCAATCCTTCATAAACCTCCATCATCCACTTCTCGAACACAGAAACTCATAAAGCTACCTAACTAATCATTACACAGATTGAAATATTTCAGATTTAGGTATGAACCCGCTATCAGTTCTAATGCTCTATTACTAAATTCTATGCTATTTTGAAACTCAAGTGTATTATATTTGGAGATGAATGTACAATGCTTATGATTTTTCTATCTGAAAGTGAATGGTAGTATGATGTTTCGAGATGAGTTATATTTGAGTAATAAATCAGCGTTTGCTTTCTATGTACTAGCTTTATGAATTTTTTCAATTGAGAGAGATTCTTTGCACGTTTTATTCTTATGAATTTATTAATCGAAGGTGATCCTTTGTACAGTAATCATTTGGAAGAGATTGTTCAGGATATAAGTCTTTTCCTATTAATTTGATACACTTTCATAGAATAGATGCACTGCATCTGTATCATAATCGGAAAACATATAGAGTGAGATAGAGAGATTTATCTATCGCTAAAAATATAAAATCTGTTCTAATAGTTCTGGTAAATAAAAGATGTTTGATTATATCATAAATAATATATGCTGTATCTTTAATCGAAAAAATACTCCGCTTTCTTTATCTTAACTTTCTTCATTGCTTATTAGGAATAGTCTCTCCTTTTCTTATTACAATTGTCTTAACTGAATCAGAATCTTCAGAAGACCCAGACAAATAGGAGAAACCCTTCATCCTTTTAACCCTTTTTTATCAATTATCAAGAGAGCTATTTCATGTATTATGTCAACCATAGTTTACCTTATTTACACATTCATTCAGACCTTCTAATTCAGTCTCTAAGGACTTTACATCTCTCTCTAATCTTTTTACCCTCTTTTCTAAAGTGTTATGTTAGGAATAATAATCTTTCAATTGTTTCTTTAGTGCTCTATTTTTACTGGAAAGTGCAGTATACACTTCTATATTTTGCTCATTTAGTCTAAATATCTGGGCTAATTTCTTTGTATATCTAATAATTTCCTACTCACTAGATATATCAGATGAATGATTTGATCAGTTAATTCCATTCTGGCTATTTTCGTGATATATTCTATATGCTATATATTGCTTTAAGCGAAAAAAATAAAATTACGCATATTGATAATAGATCTAGCAAAATTTGCCGAAGGCATATTACTAGTAGCTATACATATTGATAATATCAGATATTTCATCATTTTCTGTAGACTTCAATTTTGGATCTGAATTGTGCTCATCTTCAGGTCTGGAGTCCTCTGATTCTGTATCGCCTATAGCATAATTATTGCTTACATCAAGACGGTTAGATCCTTGCCTCATTGCAATTCTCGAAAGTAGTTTAAGATGCTAAAGAGTTAGGTTCTTATCATCATGAATTCTGAAAGCATGTTTACTTCCATAATCTCTTAATTTTTTAAGTATAGTTTTATAAGATTTTTGCTTTAAGAATTAATTAAATGACCAAACATTACATGTTTTACTTTTAGTAAAGATAGGGTCAGATAATTTTTTAGCCTTAATTGCATCTCAGATTCAGGTAAGTAATTTCTTGACGTATTCTGGATTCTTCTCCATAGAAAGAAATGACCAAAGCTCAGGATTTTTCTTCTTTTCTTCTCTACTTTTTAGATAGCCTATGCAGTACTAAGAATAGCCTTCTTTATACCATGCTAGAAAGTTCAAAGAATCCAGTTCATAGTGATTAATTTAAAGAGATCTTACTCCTCCTAGTCTTATACTCAATATCATTATCACAACTGCAAGATCCTCTTTAGTAGGAATTTTGGAAGTATCAATGTTTTGAAGCCTTTTACTCACATTTGTTAAGGAGAAATATATGAGAATTCTGTTCAGATTAGCCATTCGCTTTTTAGTTCATTCTTTTTAAATTTTATTAGAATCTTGAATAAGATCTTTATCTTTGGCAAATTCTTTAATAATTGCAGGATCTATACCACCTTCTGCTAACTTTACACAGAATGTTAACTGACACGAGATACTGGTAACAATTTCATTTTCATCTTTATTTTTCAAACTCACTGCCCAATAATTAGCGATAATATCTACAAAATCACCAGCTTTAGCACAGTATTCTGCTCTT